AGGCAACAAAACCAGAATAAAAAGAATGTGTTTTGGTGAGTTGGGCAGACATCTGTTCTTACCACACAAGGCTTGGCAACTTTCAAATTAGGGGAACCTCAGATTACCCTTTCAGCTAGGAAGCAACACGCAAAGCAAGCTTCCTCACACGCAAGTCGGGATCAGATTTCTTTATACTTACCTGTCTGCTTTCAACAGCAGGTTAGATGGCAGTTCAAGGAGCTGGTTGTGTTGCACGTCCAGGACCTCCACTTGCGTTCGCTCGAGTCGATCTGGTAGCCTTCCTAACATGTTATGTCCTGCTAGCAGCTTACGCAAGCTGCTATTGTAGAACAACCTTAGAGAAATAAAAAAAAAAAAAAAACACACCAAAAATGAGAAAAATCTAAACTGAAGAGTTGCTTTGAGAATTTAGGTGCGATATCACAGTTCATTACAAGAAAGTGATTCAGCCAGCTGATTAGCAGACATGGTATTAATTACGCACAAATCCAAGAACGTCTTCCCACTCTCCACCAACTTCTTAAAAAGGTTGTTCAGAGACAGGGAAGGAGCTTTAAGGATGATTCAGTAATGAAAGCAGTGAGAAAGGGTTATCTTATTGCACTGTATAAAACATGAATATATAGAAGCACGACAGTGAAGGAGGTAATTGCTAACAATGGCTGCAGAAAACTGCAGTTGTGGGATCCCCTAGCTAATGGAAGAGCTTCAGAAGTGTGGGTGAAATCGCCAGTCACCCCCCAAGCTTCATAGTGGGGGATTCATCACGTGCTGACTCATAATCCAATGCAATTCCCCACCCCCCATTTTCCTTTTCTGTTAATACCAGACTAACATAAAGCCTCCTTTCCAGTTCTACAGCAAATGAAATTTATCTAAATCGGCTTTACTTTCTTGAGCTTTTACAAGCGATAGATGACCTGGAGTCCCATCCCCCTGCTCCATTTTTTGGGGGGCTGGGGGAGAAGGGGAGGGGGACAAGAGGGCAACATAAAGAGACAAGAACAAACAGCTGTTTTGATCAAATAGTAAAGCTAAAATTCACGGTATAAACAACACAATATGGAGCTTAAAATTTGCACCTAAAGACCTCAAAAATGGAGCAACTCTCGATTTTTAACGGGAACCACTTTCAGCAAATTAAGAAAAAAAAGATTATTCTTCATCTGCCGCCTGCCTTACGTTCCAGTTACCATACTGTTTAATCTGGCGAGCCTGTGCTTCATGATGACCTGTTTCAATCAAAGACTCTCAAATTACTCAGCACTGAAGCAAAAATCTTCTTCCCTCTGTTACAATGACCCAAATACACATAGAGAGCCCCCCCACCCCCCGCCCTTCCCTATAATACATCAGGTCATCAGATTATTGTGCCAAAATAATCAATGAAGTATGCCGAGTATTTTCCCCTTGACAGATACCGTCATACTCCGTGTCTGTGCGCCAGTGTTAACAGTTATCTCAGTTGGCTGGATCGTCTGCATTATGACCATGGATACAAGTCAACAGCCAGCTGTATCATTCCAGAAGGCTCAACACATGGTGGAAAGACTTATCATACAGTGATAAGCATATCTATTATGTTTTCATCATTTAACCATTTTTGTTTCACTCCACTTTTACTTGAAAATCTCCCTCAGTTACAGATTTGCCTTCCTGCTCTATTTCCTTTCCTAATCAAGACTGGCCAGTACCATCAACACCAAACATTACAGGAAAAAGCAGAATTGGTTGACAACTCTCCAAAAAAATTTATCACTTTGTGGTTTGTTTTTTTTTTTTTTTTTTTGGATGGGTGGGGGCAGTGCCATTTTAAAATAAAAAAAAGATCAAATCATGGCAAAAAACTTAGCGATTAGCTTTTCCATGAAAATACATTTTATAAATAATTCAGAAGAACCAAGTAAGTCTTTGGGGTTTTGTTTGTTTGTTTTCTCTTATTTTCCAAATTACAGAAGCACCAAAGGAACTGGGCTGCCTGAAGAGAGGTTGAACCACCAGCATTTCAGCATTTAACTAAGCAAGCTCTTGATGAGTCTGGGGCACCTAGTTCTCAAGTTGAGTGGGGAACCAGGACACTGGGACTGCTCTTTGCTATGGGCAGCTTTCCCACTTGCCCGACTCCCACTGGAAGTTTTGATGGGATCAAAAAGTTCTAAGGACAAGCATGCTGCTCAGCATCTTCTGAGAAAACACTGTTTGGTGAAAGCATTCAACCAATTCCTTTAGCAAGTAACTGTTCAAGAGAACATGATGTTGCATACAAATAGGTCTTAAAAAGACAGACAATACGGAACAAAAATATATACAGACATCTTGTTCACTGGTGGCGGCAAGGTCATTTGGGCAACTCTTAATTGAAGCATTTCTATTTTCTTTGGGGAATCTTTAGCAACGTCAGTTTTATGACAATGAATTTGCCCTGCATATCTAAGATTAAGTACCCTTTTTGTTATTTTTCAGTACTTT